TGCAAAGATGGCGGGTAGTGAGTAGGATCTTATAGTATAATTATTGACGTAGTTAGGCGAAGTTTGATGTAACGATAAGAGATTACCCTTCTCTAATAGTCACATGTCTTGGACCACTCTGACCTGGTTTTGCTGGAAAAGTTCACAAACATAACAATCGACAAAAACGTGTGCTTATTCTATTACCTCTCTCTCTTTCTACCAAAGCATGTTGTATTTACCTGTACTATTGTTGCGGAGTTGATGTAATCTCTTCCTCCTCTAGTCCCCTAACAAGAATAAATTAAAATAATGCAATTCATAAACTGAAATAAAATAATACATAAAAATATAACTACATAATCAAAATACATAAATTAAGTAATTGAAAAAGATCTTGCAAAGTTTGAAAAACTAGCGAACTACTCTGCTGTAGTTAGTTTGGGTGCTTTCCGTTCGCTAACTCGAACCTCGCGCTAACTCGAACCAAAATCGATTTCCCCTGGATTTCCGTCATACATTTACTGTAATTTTCCCCTCGGTAACTCGACCTCGATAACTCGAACTCCCGCTAACTCGAACCAATTTTCGTTTCCCCTCAGGTCATTTTCTATATAATTTTACCCTCGATAACTCGAACCATGTTTTGAGCCCTTAAAAAGTAGGGAAAAAAGCCGTCTAGTGGCGTCCGAAATATTGAATTTTGGATTTCCTATTAACGTGTTGTAGGAGTATAGTTTACTAGTCGAGGCTGACGTTGAGTCACAGGCTAACGTGAAGCACCTTTACTTCTCAAAACAGTAAAACGCATGATCTATTTAGGCTATGTTTTGTTTCGTCACGTTCTGATTTATAATCCAGAAGTATCTTTTAATTTTCACCTAACATTTCTACAATTAGACGTGATGAAAATGTCCACTGTGCAGTAAAAACTGTTTTTTACCTTACTCTCGGCTATTTTCTTCGAGCTCCCGATAACTTTTTTCGATTTCCCTTCAAGGTTCGAGTTATGGGGAGTCGACTGTAAAACTAAAAAGAGAAATCAACCTGTTGCATCAGTTTAGTCAATTTTTAGTGTTTGGTGCGTTTGCTGCTTCCAGTTAAAAAATGTAAGTTAGTGGCCTAAAGTGCGTTTGGTGTTTTGTGTTGATTAAGCATCATGAAAACATTGAGCGCTGACTTTAATCTAATTGTACTCGGTATATGGCAATTATAGCTTAATAATTTATTTTTCGTTTATAATTAAATTTGCAGGTGGGTTTACTGTTGTTTTAGTTTTTATTGCCATAACACGAAGATATCGTCTAACATTGGCTATTTTCCATCGGCATATTGTGTAAAAATTAAAACCAAATTAAGAAAACTAGAGTATCAAAAAGATGTCAATTAATAAACTTAGTGCATTTGCCATTGTTCACATTTCCATTTCGCAACAAGGAGACATAGGACCGCTTGCTGCTATCCGCTGGCATAGTGTATAGGAAAAAAAAAGCAAACAAACAAACAAACAAACGAAAACCCACCAAACTTCTTAAAGACGAGTGGAATCCTAAACTTTCAATTAATGTTTCAATCTCTCCGCTAGCTGTTGTTTCCATCTGAATTCCGCATTAACGGTAATATCGTAGCGTTTGCTTTTATCTACCGACAAAGTGCATGGCCATTAAAACCAAGTCGACAATGAGAGTATTCCAATAATCCCAATTAATTATCCGAGTGCGCAGGCATTTTTGTCCAAAAGAACCGAAGATAGCCATTAACATAGTGTATCACAATTATAACCAAATTAAAAACGAGTGTATTTCATAAATTCCATTCAATTGGTTAAGTGTGTTCGCAGCTGCTAGCTGCTATCGGGGCGCCTGCCTTTAACTATATCACAAAGCATATCTATTTTCCTGCCTGTCTTGTACCTCCCAAAAATAATAAATAAAACATAATAATAATAATAATAATAATAATAATAATAATAACAAAATAAAAACTGAAATAATAAAATAATTGAATGAACGAATAAATAATGTAATATCTATATCCGCCGTCTCTTCTCATTACTACTATACGCAAAATGTGGTACTGCTCAAAGCTGTCACCTATTGAAAATCAAGCAAAAAAAAAAATTGCCCTAGCAGACAGGCATAAAAAGCGAGTTTCGACCATTTAAAGATTGTAATTGATATTCCCAGGGTCATAAAATTCTACATAATTTGCTGTATTTTTGGTCACTGTGTATAGACGTCAACATTTAATTAAGCTTAAATACCCTCGTTTAGAGGACAATTAATTAGCAAAAGTGGGTTAAGCTCAGGCCATTTTTCGATCGATTGCCGTTTCTTGACATCATTTTGGTTTCACATTTCTCGATTGCTATCGACATATTTTATTTTCAAATTAGCAAAAAAACACGTACTACTTATGCTTCCCAACAACAACTTAGTAATAATGGATACTTATGGTAAAATATCTTCGCACCAAATTGTGTTCCTTATTTGTAGCCTCAAGGGTACCATTTTAATAATTGTTGGTACTTCATCCTACGTTAATTCCTTGGCATTTTTTATCGGCCATTGTTTTGTCCAAGAAAAGCATTAAGCCTACCCTTCGACTAGCTCACCATAGTTGGTGACAGCAAAGTTATGAGCTGATAATCCAGCTCCCCTAAGCCAATCAAAACACAACAAATTTAATAACATTTGTCCATTTTCTCGATAAATTACTGTAGTTGCTTCTATTTTGGACGGCGTTTCCCTAGAGGAGTGGTTGTATCCTTATAAAACCGTGAGGCATTCTGTGTATATCACCACTTTCTATTTCAAAGGTAAGTGTGTCTGTTCTCTGTTTAACCATTTACCTTCTTTGCAAGCACGTCTAGTGTTGACTTTAAAGCGATGCAAACAAAGCACACTTCTATTTTTTCAGTTCTTCATCTTTGCCGTATCCTAATGATTTACAATGTCAAATCACATTATAGTCCTCTAGGTTTAAAACCTTTTTGTTGATTCTAGAAGCGCAAATGTTTATCCAGTTACTAACATCCTATTGCAGTCGTTGCTTGCCAATACTTGATGATGTTGAATTTTATTAACTCTTTCTGGAATGTCCATTAAATCATTGCGTTAAGAGTAAAGACGCTTCCTGCATGAAGTCGGTTGATTTTACTGTTTCCATCGAGTCTATCGATACCCAGGCATGCTGAAAGTTCTCAACAACAAAAGTGAAAGTTTTAAAACATTTGTAATTTATTTTACGGATTTCGCGGAAAATGAGAATGGTTTACCATTTTGCCTTTGAAATTGCTTATTTCGAAATAACGCTAACTTCAAAATGCTGTGAAAGGTTCTCTTAAGAAGTGATAATAATTAATTGCTACTGGTATAAACCTATCTTGCTTTAACAAGAATCCCGAATTTCAGTTAGAATTCAAAGTTCCGATACAGATATTTTGTATTGTCCTTTTTAATTTTACGTTTTATGCAGGGAAAACTGCATCGAAGAGTGAATGTACCGCCTTTATAAGGCTAAGACTTTATAAATCAACCTGCGATATGGGCGATGCGAGTTAACTGCCTGCAAAGTAAGTTTCCCCCATTAACAATTATCTATAAAGACTTTTATTTTCAATGGATAACGTTTTGACCGATGACACTGTGTGTATTTTCACTCGCTCAAGTAGTGACACTGAAATGGTAGGTGTTTCAATTAGATATTTTAAAAGCTACGCAAATTAAACGCCTAAACATTTTATAGCACCTATTAAATGCTATGAAGTTCAAACAATCAAACATCTTTTTGATTCCTTAGCTATAGATCACGGAGAATCGCGTCACAGCTGGCTGTGACGCGATTTAACTGGCAATGTAACTCAATAAACAATCTAATTTATTCCAAAAATTGTTGTTGATTGTATTTACAGTCAGTTTGATGTTGTTATACCGTAAAATTCCGAAAATAAGTCACGGGGCTTATATTTTTCAAAGGCCCTTTTGGGGGGGCTTATTTTTGGAGAGGCTTATATTCGGAGGGGCATATGTACGGAGGGAAATTTGCGTTTCAAATCAATTGGGCTAGCTTGTAGTGGAAAGGAAATTTACCATTTTTGCTTTGTTTTACTTTGTATGAGAGAGCAAATTCCAAGTACAAGCCCCCCGGGGGAGGGGCTTATATTCGGAGGGGCGATTTAACGGAGGGTTTTTTGCGTTACGATTTTGGGGGGCTTATATTTGGAGGGGCTTATTTTAGGAATTTTACGGTATTTCCATGCCGCAGCTAACCGAGACATATAAAAGAAAGCCGACTGCTGTCAATTGCATAATGTAGAGCGATTAAAACTAAATTACAAATAAGTATGTAAATTCTTCATATTTTTTTTGGAATGAGACATGGGAGCGCTGGCTATTATACCGCGATAGCATGCTGTAATATGGCAATTAAAAACCCATAACAAAGAAGTGTATCCCGATAATTCTCATTAAAAAATTGTGTTTGCAATTGCAGTTGTTTCCCTCTAACATGGCTCAGATATCGGTTTTTAAAAACCTTCTTACCAGCATTAATAAGGGTGTTCAGTCCATGCGCTTGTTTTAAAACAATGAAACCCTGTATTCATTAAAACCGATGTATTTCCAAGTTTCAATTTAACTGTCCAAGTGCATTCGCTGCTGTGTGTTCTTTCGCTTTGCTTTCAGAAAATTAAACCTTTTAAGCAGGACGTCTGCTCTTAACTAAAGTAGGTGCTTCCGTGCCGTCTTAATGGTACAGCATTTTGATAACTAAACAGAAAGTACCAGTCTTTAATTAAAAAGTGTTGAAAAAGTAGAGGATCAGACTAGACCGAGCTTAAACGTGAATTGTCATGTCCATGCTGATTTTTTTTTCTGTTTTAGCTTTCTTTATCAAAAATGGTTAAGAGGCTCGAAATTCTTTTGAACTTGTTTTAAATCATCACTCCTTGTTAATGGCGATATGTGTTTGAAGAAACGTCACGATATTATCTCTTCAATTTTTACTCTCTGGTAATGATA